TGAAGTTCTGTCAGGCTAAGCTTCTGTCTACTGGAAAGCATTACATGGGAGCTGTCTTTCCAAGCTGCCTGGGTCACTGTTAGTTTTTTGTTTTTGTTTTTAGACATAAAGGACATCTGTTTTTGGAATTGAAGCCTCTCATATAGTGTTGTGATGTGAAAACCATCTTTCTAAACAATTACGAGAATCATCTTCCCCTGTAAGTGGGCTGAGGCCATGAGGGACCTTGGCAGAACATTGGTGACTGGCTGTAAAGAGTGGAGTGAGTTGTGCTGATTTGCCTAAAAGATCCCACTACCTGTTCTGATTATGAAGAGCATTTTTCCTAGATGCAAATATGCTGTTTCACTGAGACTATTTCTGGAAGAGCTTGTTGCACACAAGGAAATAAGAGGAATTTGGAATGGAGCTTGTTTGGGCTTTCAAAGGATTCAGGGGTAGAAATGTGAATAGAGTCTTAACTTCCCTCTAAACCTATTTTCAAGAAAGGACCTTAAACTCATCAGATTAATTTTTGCCAAGATTTTCTATCACTGAAGATTGGTGATGAGGATGAGATTCCAGCAAAGAACGAGTATGGAACCAGACAATCTTTAAGATCCTTTCCAATTCTGAGATTTTTGTGCTTCCATACTGGGGAGGAAAATAGTCTTGGAACTGTTTACTCAGAGCTTAAATGCTGTCTCTTGTTTCAACTCAGTGATATATTTACTTCTTCTAATGTTCTTCATAGCAATATTATTTGTTTAATTTAGTCCTATTCAAAATTTCAAGAAAAGAGTTGGCTTTGAACAACAGAAAAATGTAATAGCTTGCCCTCCTTATCAACAAAAGGAAATTTCTTGTCTGAATTGGTGGCCAGAAAAGAGATGGGTAGCTTTGCGGGGTGCAACAGAGACAGTGAGGGCCATTTAGTAAACAAAAGAGGACCCTTCCCTTCCTCAATGTGTGATGTTTCTGGCTGGCTGCTGGAAGAGAGTTTCTCAATGTCACTTCTATCCCTAAGGCTCTACACATGTCAGGTTTTAAACTCAGTGCTCAGACTAGAAGAAAGGATAGTAACTTGACCTGGCTCAATAAATCAGGAAATTAAATTAGCACTAGAATAACAATATGGTGAAAATAAGATTTGAGAAAGGATGCTACAAGTGAATTTAGAGCAGCCAGCTAGAGTGGTGTAGAGGTCATCCAACCCAGTAGTTGAAAAAGCAGTGTTGGTATTGTCAGGAAACCGAGGCTCTAGATCTGACTCTGCCACTGACTGGCTAGACACCCTGGGCAAAACATCTCTCACCTCTGGGACTTGGGTTCCTCATCTATAAATAAGGTTGTGGGCTTTTTTTTAAGTCACCTAATATTTATGTAGAGTTTCCTATATCCCAGGAGCTGAGGTGAGTGTTTTATAAGGCTCTCATTTGATTCTCAAAAGTCTTGGGCCTTGGGCGCCTGGGTGGCTCAGTTGGTTAAGCAACTGCCTTCGGCTCAGGTCATGATCCTGGAGTCCCGGGATCGAGTCCCACATCGGGCTCCCTGCTCGGCAGGGAGACTGCTTCTCCCTCTGACCCTCTTCCCTCTCGTGCTCTCTGTCTCTCATTCTCTCTCTCTCAAATAAATAAATAAAATCTTTAAAAAAGAAAAAGTCTTGGGCCTTGGAAACTCTCAAAGAGCATTGAGAGAGACAATACTTGAAGCAGCTTCTGCCATAGCCTTTGGCCTCCCCTCTCTCCATTAGATTCATAAAGCAGCTCTTCCACTACTGTTTCTCCCTGCAGGTCAAGGGACTCAGGAAAGAACCTCCATGCAAAGATGGAAATTGTTTGGCCTGGAGAAAAGGCATTTGAGACATGACTTGGTAATCTTCTGTTTTCAGCTGGTAGAGATCTATTTCTGGGGCTGGTGGAGACAAGGTGATTGTAAAACTTGAAAAGACTAAGGGAATATATGGCCTGGCCTGAAGCTGGAAGGAACTACACTAAGTGATGAATGGAATGGAATGGCCCTGAGGTCTAGGGTCCAGAAGGAACTAGATCATGTTACCTCTTAACCCGAAGCTTCATGGGCAGGGCTACTTTAAGGGTTCATCTGTCCAGAATGGTTTGGATCAAGTGTTCAGTGAGACATAGGAGTGCTTTAAATGAGCTCTAAAATCCCCTCCAGCCCAGCCCTATGAGATAATAAGAACTTTTTTTTTTTTAGTGAGGGGAGTAATAATTTAACATGACAGTCACATTAAGAGAAAAGATCTTGGTGGAAATTTTACTTGGGAAGGTATAAAATGTTAAATTAATTGATGAACTCTGGTGTATAAAATGTCACTGAATCTTTTGATCTGGTTTCTACTTTGGTAGTCGGGGCAGAGACCTCATCGTCTTGGGAGTCAGGAAACCCATTTAATCCTGGCTCTACCTGTAGCCTCTTCATCGAAGAAATGCTAATAACAATCTCTGCTCTGCCTGTCCTAACAAGAATGTAGTGAGAATCAGATGAGCTACTGTATATTGGAAATGTGTTGGAAAGAGTCAAATAGTTATCAAATACAAGATACTATACATTAGAAAAAGAGTTCATCCGTCAAAAAATAGGTGTAGCATTAGAACCAATTGGTATTTTAGGAAAGATTCATAATTCAAATGTTCTTTCATAATTATGTGCATGGATCGAGGTACAAGAAGGAGGAGGAAGAATCGAATGGTTGTTATATAGCTGAATCACCTTTCTATCACTTAGAAGTCAAAAATTAGACTCTAAGTTTGCTATATCAAGAAAAGAAGGCATAGAAAAATTACTCTCAGACCATATGACCTGGGCTTTGTGGGCAAGGTTAAGTCAATTTCCATGAAGCTTGAGCCAAGAAATCCACACAGAAACCAGAGAGCACAGGGCAACTTTCCGGTCGACCAACCTCATTTCAGGTTGTGCAAAAAGCTTGGAAGCCAAAAGAAAATGCCCAATATAAGATCATCTGAGCTTCTTGAGATTGAGAATAGAGTAATGTTTAACTATTTAGGGGTACAATAGTATAGGGAAATAGTAATTGAAAAAAATTATATCTTGGTTTTCTATCCTTGCAGAAGCTGAGAAATGAAAATTATCTCATGGGATGGGGTACTAGGCTTAATAGGTTGAATAATGCCCTTCCCGCAAAGATGTTCACAACCTAATCCTTGAAACCTAAGAATATGTTACCTTACATGGTAAAAGGGACCTTGCAGATGTGATTAAGCTAAGGGTCTTGAGATGGGAGATTGTCCTGTTATGTGGGTGGACCCAATGTCATCAAAAGGTCTTTGTGGAAAAGGGGTAGGGAAGAGAGTCAGAGCCACGGAAGGAGATGTGGCAACAGAAGCAGAAGTGAGAGAGAGAGAGATTTGAAGATGTTCTCCTACTGGTTTTGAAGTTGGAAGAAGGGGCCAAGAATCAAGGAAGGCAGGTGGCCTCTAGAAGCTAGAAAAGGCAAGGAAATGGATTCTCCTCTACCATCTCCAAAGCAACACAGGATTGCCTGACCCATTATAGATTTCTGACCTCTAGAACTGTAAGGTAATAAATTTATATTGGTTTAATCCATTTTGTCATAATTTTTTTAGGAATAGGAATTCAATAGGAAAGTAGCAAATAGGAAAGTAAAGGCAGGTAATTTCAGCCTGTGAAATTCTCTGCTAAATTTGACCTCTGTAAGTTGAGGAAGGGCAAAGAAACAAAACAAAAGAAAATGGTAAAACATGTCTAAAAATGATACTGAAGATCATTTGTTAATATAAATCACTAGTTTCTTTGATTCCATGGCTACTGCTATGGTTGTGAATGGTAGTCACTGGCTTCTTTGTACTTACCCTTTGCTTCCTTGCTATGAACACGCACACACATCACTTAAAGCAGAAAAAGAAAAGTTCCATAGGAGATGTGCCTCGACTCCCACTATAACTCCCTGCCTTTCCCCACTGATGTCTCTTTACAGGAGTCCCTCATTTCCCTATAGACCCCTCTACCCTCCCCGTCTCCTATTTCCCCCACCATCACAGGGCTTCTTGATCTTCTTTGAGGCAACTGTTTCCCAGACGCTAGGCTATTCTGAGGCAGAGGTTGTGAAGGAAACATCTTAGGAATTCCATGGCAGGTAATGCTTACTAACGCCTGTCAAGAACAGCCTCTGGTTTACTGCAGGGTCTGTGTGGTAGGAGAATTTGGAACCAAGATGCTGCTCAAAGAGCTGCAAAGTGGCTTCGAGCTTGTGTGTGGCTCTATCCCTGCACAGGAAGGAAAGCTGAAGGCCTAGCAGAAAGAGGCTGTTTAGCTTAATTTATGTCAACAGGGTGGGCCACTTTTTTCAATGTGTCTGTGGTGGTAAGGGAGAATGGCATTAACTCTTTGAAAGCCATGGAAAGAATATGAAGTACTATGCTGTGGCGTTCAGCTAGGAAGACCCAGCTCTCAGCGTCCTGCCTGGACAGAGCCTAGCAGGACGCAGGAGGCTGTGATTGGCTGAGACAGAACTGACCCAAAGATCAGATATGACAGATGTGACCACTAGGCCATTTCTCTACAGTGATAAAAACCTCTGGTTAAGTCCGCCAAAGATAAGCATTAAATGGTTCAAGGCACCATTAGGGTAGAATATCTGATCAGAATTTTCATACGGAAAGATGGTATCAGTAGGACACTCCAGAGGTTTGAGTTATGTAGGCACAGCACGAATTATCCGAATGAGTTCATAGTCACTCTGGCCTCTCCTCTCCTCCTTCCCCCAGCACACAACATTATTACAGAAAAATTACGTGTAGAAACTAGAAGTTTCTAGAAGCATTCTGCTTTCTCCTTGGGGTTTTTCCTACATTTCAAAGAGAAAGGGGTTCACCCCATTGTACCACACAGTTGTTCTCTCCCCTCATTCTCTCCCAAGAAGTATCTGCCCTCTGGGGATAAAGCATTTCCAAATATGACTCCTTCAGCTTGGCTTTACAGACTATAACCTTAAACTTGGAAAGAACAGAAACACGTACATGCTCGGATGTGAAGGCAATGAGCCTGGGAACAGCAGCCATTCCTTTTTCCTTGACTTCTGGGAACATCTTAAAGCGTGCAATCAGCATGGCATACATGTTAGATATAGCACCACCTAAAGAAAGTAACAGCAACACACAGTGACCTTTTCTAGTCATTATCAACATCATTTCACATGCAAGCAACATTCCTTATTTCCATTGACCTAGAATCCTCCTTAGACATGGGAGAAGGCCATATTTATTGGTTATCCTTTGACTTGAATCCTCAAACTCAGACTGAATCCTCAGCCTAAGAGGGTCTACAAAAAGGAGCACTGGGCCCAACCATAGGGCATATGCTACCCTTTCACGTCCCAAATCTGCGACTAAATAGAACTGCCAATTGATTCTGCTCTTGCTGGGAGTCCTTTGAAGAGGTTCTTAAGAACTGAGAAATTGTTGCCTTCCTTCCCACCATGCAATTGTGGTCATTCTTCATTAGGCCTGTGGAAATCCTACTTATCTCCTGATGGAGAACACATTTCTTTTCATTTCAACTCAGGCAATGCCTTGCACTCACACTAAGACAAATCCATTGTAGCTATTGGTCTGGACTGTTAATCCACAATTCTTATAGAATGAGGATAAACATCCAAGCCCATTTCATCATACTCATCTGTGAATTTCCCCAGAACAGTTCTTCCCCCTCAAAGACTTCACAGAAATACAATTGTAATAGCTGAACAAAAAACTTATTTCATAATGATAGGAAAACACAAAACTAAGGGAATTTTAAGTCTATGTTGATTTGCTTTTCCTGTGTCATTCTATGATTGTCAAGGATTTCATACCATAATATTTGTATCTTATAAGTAAGGTCTCATTTGACAAGCAAAGAAAAGTGAGCTTTTCCCCAAGATTGTTGGAAAGCTCAGGATTTTTGCAATACAAGAAGAAGACAGATTGTTGTGCATGCATATGGGGATGTTGGCATGGAAGCTGTGACGTCATGCGGCAGAGTGAAGCCACTATCTCCTCCTTTCCCATAGGGAACACACTGGGCTCTGCCATGATGTGAATGCTTTGAGTTCCCTTCCCTTTGGGTGGCTGAGGAGCAGAGGGCGCTTTGTACCAAAATGAATGGCCCCCACAGGGCCATGACTTTTGCCTCATGCTCCCTGGGCTCTGATGCAAGCAAGCAGCCTGGCCCAGAGCAGTAAGTATCCAGATCCCGGTTCTGTCATCAGTCTGAATAAGGGCAATTGCTACCTCTTCTGACCCCCAGAGACATGGGGCAAGAGGAATCCACGTCAGGCCTGCTCTGAGCAGACAACCTGTCTAAAAGGGCTGAGGGTATAGGATGCTGCTGGGCAAGGGACCAGCTTTTAAAGGAACTTCCACTCCAATGTATGGTTTTTCAATCTTGGCACTTAGTAATATTTGGGACTGGAGAACTCCTTGTGGTGGGGCTTGTCCTGTGCACTGTAGGGTGTTTAGCAGCATCCCTGGCTGTTATCCACCAGAAGCTACTAGTACTACCTGCCCCCCCCTCCCCTGCCACCAAGTTGTGACAATCAAGAACCTCTCCATTCATTGCCAAATGTCCCCTGGGGGTTACAATAGCCCCCAGCGGAGAAGCACTGCCCTAGGTGTTCTTGTCAGAGAGGCTGGGGAGAAAGGAGGCCAGGAGAAAAAGGGGAAGATGAACACAAAGATATCATGTCACATAACACAGTTATTCAAGAAGCTTCCAGCTCTACCTTGCCACTTCTCATTTTGCCACTCCAGTTATTCTCTGTCTAAAGATCTAGTAGCCCTGAGAGAGAAGAAGAGGATTCTGGATCGTTAGAGCAGACTATTGTGCAACCCAGGCAGGAAGACAGATGCATCTTCCAGAGGAAGGATGCAAAAACGAGCTCTGAATCATCAGGAAAATCCTGTTAGATAGGAAAAGGTTTGTGACTAAGCCAAAATTTCCCTTTCTTCTCTTTTGGTCCTTCATGACTTGCTGAGCAGTGAGGAATACTCCAGTTCTCTTTGGCTCCCAGGCACAGGTGACATCACATGAACAGATTTCTTCTAGAAGTCCCAGAGAAGTTCCCACGAAGCATGAAGCCTCTGGATGCTATAGATGGAGGTGTAAGGTAAACTGAGCTGAGCTATATATTCAAGTCACAGACCTAACTCTCCATGTTTAGTCCTGGGCAATAGGACTTTCAGATCTCAGGCACATACGATGTATGATTTCCCCATCCCCACTCCTTAAATTGTAAGACCCTATACCCCAGGAATAAGGACAGATGCTACCTGGAAAGGCATCCATTTGCAAGTGAGGTTGCTATAATCCATCTCTCCTTTGTAATGCCTTGTAGAAAGCAGAGCAGAAACAGGTTGCCAATGGCCTTTTCTTCTGTCCCCTCCCCACTTTGCGATGTCTACATTATACTTAGCATGACATCAGTGGCTTCCATCTTGGTGTGAGAGCATACAGATCTTTAGGATCCAAGGAAGGAGCCCCATGATCAAGGTTAAGTCTTTCTACCTGATCATTTTCTGTCATTGATGGGGGTGTCCATACTTGGTTAGCAGAACTGCCAAAGAAGGTTCTTTCTCTGGGTGTATATTTTCTGGGGCAAGTGGTTTCCAAGAGCAACTAAATTAGGCCTGGCCCAAGCCCTCTCAGCCAAGTTTTCAGGGTCAACAGGAGCAACTGTTCTCTTCCCACTCCTGGGGACCATTAAAAGAGAGCTCAGGATGCTCAATCACATAACCAACCTTGTAAGAGGGAGAAGAATAGAGGTAAAAACAACACTGATCTTTGAACACTACCTAATTCCTCATGAAAAATACCTTAAGAGCATCAGTTCCAGGCAATGATGACAAAGTTCCCTCAGTGGGGAATGGTTTTCCAAAGGAAAACTACGTTCCCTACAAAATAAAGGCTAGCTTTAAATTCATCACAGCTGGTGTTTAACCAAAAAAAAAAAAAAAAGCTAATTTTCCCTTCCATTTAACGAACATGTTTTCCTTCAGCACCTGAAAAATTGTGTTGTATCTTTAAAAGCATAAAATATAATAGCAGATCTGAGCTTATAGGTAAAGCTCCTTAATTTAAGCCCTACCCTGAGGCCACTGTTGCTTGCTTATAATTTCTTCTTTCAACCTGTTCTTTATTTTCTCTCTCCCTCATCATCCGCTTGTCTCTGTAGGTTTGCTGAAGGGACATCTCGACGTGGCCTTTGCTAGGCTTGACATAATGTCAGGTGTGGCTGTGGCCTCCCCAGCAGGGCCAGTCTCAGTGTACTGAGCACCCACCCCATTCTGATGACCCTCTCCTGCCACTGATTAGGTGACAGTCTGCACACCAGGTTTATTTTCCATGGGTCAGTGACTCTCTCCCTACTGCCTTTCTAACTTCTGTTTCTTCTCTGCGTCAAAACCAAGGTCACATACAGATCGGGAACCAAGGGCAAAGCTTTTTTTGTGTCAGGTTGATTCTCTTGGCTGGAAGAGGTGTAAATAATGGAGCTTAGAATCCAATGGCTGGTGATAAAAGGCAGGATGAAGAGACTGAATGGCATGATAAAGAAGAGAAGGCAAAAGAGACCTTTGGAAGGAATCAGCACCCTCTGTTTCAGCTTTAAGAAATGGTTTCCCAAGTCACTCTCTGCCCTCCTTGAAATTAAAGTCCATCGGCTTCTCTGGTTGTTATTTGAAAGGGACAGAGTACGTGGGCTCGATTACGTGTATCTGCCTCATAATGCCTCCTCAAACAGAGAAGGCTTTATTAAATGAGGCTAGCCTTTCCCTAATTGTGGGAAGAGTTTCAGAGAGCGAATTCCCTTATGAGGAATCTTTATTCCTGTGTTCCACATGATCCATACATCTTCTGTGTAGGATCACAGTAGAAAGGTTGGGTAAATATCCACCCCTGTTTATCCTCTTTCTGAACACCAATAACTCTTGGTCAAGTATGGGGAGTTGACTTGGAAGCATGGTCAATGGTCATGTATTATCACGCTCATTCTTTTGATCAACATAACCTATTTAACATAAGCAGAAATACCGACTAGATATTGAATCACTCCTATGTTCATAATGAGGCACGGCGTATCAGAAGAAAAAACACAAAGAAAGGTTGAAATATCATATACCAGGAGAAAATATCCCATCGCCAGAGCCCCCTGGCCAGCCAATGATTTCTCTCATTTTCTTTAGCGTGACATATTCCAAGAGCACAAATACTGGAGCAATTTCATAGGTGAACCTGAAATGTAGTAATGGCCACATTTTATGTATGTAACTCGAAGAAATAATTCATCATTACAACATCTATAGAACTATTGTATGTCCCTCTTCAAGCCCTACATTCACAAAGGTTTTGATTATAGTATTGAGCAGAGAGAAAATTAGGTCTTCTTAAAGGTTGCCCATTTTTCTATATTCCTAAAGTTAAGAGCTTAATGCCCAAGGGTCATTTATCATATTGAATAAATAAAGAACACTGCAGAATACTACTATTTAAAAGATATCATCTGGTCCCATTTCTTGTTCACTTTATACATAATTATAAATCCAAAATGCCAAAAAAGTGCCTTTTGTGTTTGAAAAATGTTATATAACTTTGATTGCATGAAAGATAGATCAGGACTCTTTTCTTTTAAGTTAGAGTGAACACCCATATACTGCTGAAGTTTGTATCACTATGTTAGGGGCTACTTAAAAAGAGATTTTCACATGACAGGTAGAATAAAGACTATGAAATCTCACTAATAATTTATCCTGGATTAAAAAAAAAAAACCCACCACATTTAACGACTTACATGTTGGTGTTTGCTGTTGATGTCAGCCAGTCTGCTGCTAATCCAACCATATCCAGTCCAGTGGAAAGTTGATTGAAATATCTGGGATGCCCTGAATAAAATGGAATACCAGAATCAAGACTGCATCCAATGAAAATAAATGCCTCTCAAACACATGATTGCTCTAGCTAAAGAACCTTGAAAGATCCTTCAGTAGTAGGAAATCCATATTCAGAAACCCAACATGTGCATGCGTGTGTGTGTGCACGCAGACGCACCCAAAAGGAGCATTTCATCTAACAAGAGAGACTATTTGGGGTTTTGGTATTTCTTAAAGCACACTCTAAAAAAGCTTCCTCTAAACATTATCCAATATAAAAAAAAAAAAAACAAGTGTGGTTTGCAATGTGGATGCTAGTTTATTTCCTAGCATCCCTTCAATACATTTGCAAACTAAAATGCTCGTATAATCCAAAGCTATTCTTGTTTACACTCATGCTGCTAAAAATCCTTTTTTGTTGAAGTTGTTCTGGGAATCAGTCATATCATGACATCCACCAGGCATGCCAGCATTCATAATGATAATCAGTGACAAATGACTGATGATTACAAAAGACAACGCAAAAATGAGAAAATAGGACACTTCGTTGAGTGATTTGCCCTGGATTCAAAAGGTGATCGTCTAAAGAGGGCATGGGCAAGTTCAATTCTTGTCGATTCTTTTCTGTCCAGATACTTGATTATAAACAACAGAACTCCTCATAGTTGTGATTTAAAGTAAAGAGGGATACAGTCAACATCACTGCCCCATCAACAAGATACATGAAGATATATTCAGTGAGCTGATGAGTCCATTAGCAAGGCTTATCTAATTAACTTCTAGATTTCTCTAAAACTCTCTAAAGGAGTTGACATCCAAATACTCCTGAGGCTATTATTTAAAATGTGATTGTAAATATCTCATTAGAATTCCATTCCTTGTCTTGCCCCATAAAAGCCTATCTCTAAATCTGTGATTTGCTTGGCAGCAAAAATTTTGGAACATTATCCATTATGGAAATAGCATCTGATAAAAAGGCGGCCCCCACTTATTGGACACCTGTCTGAAGCCCCGGGGGGACGGTCTCTCAGGCCAGCACGGGCCGAACAAGATAAAGGAAGGCAATGGGGAAAACAGGGACAAAACTCAACACAGAGCTTACCTCTGGGACTGGAGAGCTCTCTTATCAGCCTCGGGCACGTGGCTAGACATTTAGACACCGAGAAAAGATAGGAGCTGGGAAAGGGCACATTTCAAAGAGACTGGGATTTGTGCGGCTCTTGCTCATGCTCTGGCACTGTTTTGCTTCCTTGTGGCTGTGCACAGTGCCCTTCTACCTTTTTGCTCTCTACCAGGCCCTCTGATGCTGACCCTGTCAGTTTATGCATCCAGGCAAAGTGAGAAAGCCCCTTTGCTGCTGCCGCCTGGGCCACGGTCTGGAACGGGCCTCCCCTGTCTCTGCCTCATTGACTCTCCATTTCATTAGAGCTCACAGCTGAAATCACAGCCGCCTCTCCCTCCTGATGCCCCTTCATTTCTCTTTCCCTAAGCCATTTCCTTAAAGGGAGGAAATTAATAAAGATTAGCAAATCAATCCATTACTCTACTCTCCCAATTCATATGCATTTTCTGGATGAATCTGGAGTCTATTATCACACACTATTTAACTCTCTGGAAACTTTGGCATGAAAAACCTCTGCAAAAAAAATTGAGAGAAATTCCAAGGTCTGTGTCCGGCCCCAGGATATCAAAAGGCCAATTCACCCTGCCGATTGCCTTTGGAAAACTGGGAAGCAAATTTGAGGCTTCAATGGCTTGACTCGCTTTTCTATTTTTTTTTTTTTTACCTTCTTCGCCCATGGCACCTGAATCTCTCGTGCCTCAAAATTTTCATTCACTGATGGTGATGTGATAAAAATGGAAGGAGATAGTTTGACAGGTTAGAGCAACATGTCCTCTTAATTTTTGCAGAAGTGCGCTGCAGAAATATTCTATTTGCTCCCTTCCCGTGACCCCCCCTCAGGCTGCCGGCGAATCCAGGCAAGGATCTCCGAGAGAAAGGGTGGGAGAGACCTGCGTTGGAGGCTCCCAGCTGTCCCAGCCGGCCTGGGCATCCAGCTGCCGCCGCCGCCCCCACCGGGCTCGGGAATAAGCGGCCACGCGCAGCCGGGCAGACATCGAGGAGGAAACGTGAGATTAGAGCCGCTCCCGCCTCTGGAACGCTCCCCACTGATTAGCAAATGAGCCAGGAAGGATGCGCAGGCTTTGCCAACGACCAGCCCCGGGCGGCCCTGACCCCCTTGTCCACCATCAGTTGGGGAGGGCCCCAAAGTCGGTCCAAACTGCTCTCCGTGTACCCGCAGCACGCACCCAAGGACGGTCTCATTTATCGATGCTTCCATTTCTTTGTCTGATGGCTCCGTTAAAAGACTCAAGACAACACTAACCCCTGCACTCCCCAAACACCACCACTACCACTAAGTCCAATGATCCCCGAAAATGTTATTTATTCTAAAATTCTATCATTCTCTGCAATTTTCAGCTTTCCGTTCCAACAGTTCTTAAAGACGTAATTTTAACAATACAGGGCGACTTCCACTTGCAAGTATTTAACCCACTGCCCCTCATTCTTCTCTAAGCTTGGAGCCCAAGTGAAAATTAGATTAAGGACTCTCAGTAGAAAGCAGGTGCTAACATATTTTATAAAAGCATCTCCCTAGGAGAACTAAAATGCTTAATGGTCACAGAGATGGTAACTACTTTACAGACCCTAAATAGTACTAGTTGTCAAATACCAGTTACAGCATAAAAACCTGTAAACTTGCTAGTCAAAAAGAGGTGACTTGGTGTTACTTCTTTGAACTGCTATTTGGGGGTGGAATGGGGAAGACCAGAAGACTACATGTGTTATGAATAATATTGATATTGATGCTTAGAAATCCAACATAATCTTCTTTTCCCCTGAACTTTAAATAAAATGCATTAGAACTACATTTGACCAACAATCTCACAAGCATTATGGCAAAATCTAAGAATTGAATTGCCCCATCTTCTCCAAACACTAAAGGAAGCATTGATAGACAGAGCTATGACTTTCATTGACTTGCAATTCTCATTATCTTAACTCTTTAAATTACATGTCAGACATCACCAGCTTTTAAGGATGAAGATGTAAAACATTTTTATAGGTTCTTTTCAGTTTGGTAGCAGTAAAAATAATGGGTAGCAACCTACTATTATCATATTTAAATATTAGGTTAGGGGAATGGATCAAAGAAAAATGAATTAAAAACACTGTTCAGGTTTGCCTCCACAGATACATCAAAAGCTGGAAGAACATCTTTAATGCCTAGTATATACATCATGTGGTTTCTCTGTGAACATGACTGGCAATGATAGCTAATAAGCCTTCAAAATTCATATTCTACAGGCCAAGTGTGGTCGAAATCACCAAGTTAAACTCCTTTCCCTATGTACCTAATTTTAAGTCTATAGTCTCACAAAGGTGGATACTAATAATGCAGCAGATCCATTTCCTAGGCTTCTTCTCTGCATACTTTTCCTCTCTGTTGGTATAACGAATGGAAAAACAAAACCAAAAAAGTAGCTAAAAGTCACACACCGAACATTCTTAAAATGCTTTTTGTTGATTAGAGCAATATGATAATTCATTAACCAAAGAAATGGCAACATAAAAAATCAAGTTCCTATGGTAATTAATATTCATGTGACATTTTTATTTGCTAGCGGATCTTTTTTAAGGCTACAAATCAATTTAGATCCACAAGGTCTTCTATCCCTCATGAAATTCATTCATACTTATTTTTATTGCTTTAATGAAGTGTAGTGGCATCATGCATCAGCATGATTAGAGACAATGCAGGAAAAGAAGGGATAATCATGACCTGGGGAGATAAATGGCTGATTTTGTGTAGATAAAATGAAAGCTTAGAATGTGCCCAAATAAATGTTACTGTAAAACAGATAGCGTATGAAGACTACTGTGAAAAAAAGCAATAAATACAAAATACATTTTAACATAAGGATATTTGATTCCCCTCCCCCACCCATTTTCTTTATTTTATATTCAGAATGGCTATGAAGCACACACATCCTTGTATATAACACCGCTGAATTGTTAAGCTAGTTTGTATTGTGTTTTCTTTTGTGGACATTTCTTTAAAAAAAGAGAAAACCTGGGGTTCGAATCTGAAGTCCTGGCCATTTGAGACAATGCCAAAATATTATCTCTCTGTTGCGATGATTACATAGGATGGTTTATCCAATGTCTGACCATTCCTATGCCAAAGAAATGACTAGCACTACACTAGTATTGGGCTTTTGTTTGGATCATGCCTTTTGAGCTTTCATTTCCATATTCCCTTCCTTTCTCCATTTTGGGTCACTTTTACTGGCTTCTGCTGACAAATGGTTGCTTCTACATCAGTGGTTAATCTCCGTGGCCAAATACGTGCAATGTAAAATCTGATGATTTATACTTAATGCGTTTATAATGTTTCTGATATCAACTTCAGAAGCATGAGCATTAATAGTAAAGGGTGGCTTTGCTTCACATGATTCTAATAATGACTTTTTTAAATTGATGAAAATAACTCTGTAAATTTGAAAATACCAGTAACTCCATAAACAGAAAACATTTTTATATAAAAAATAAAAATTGTAAAAGGAAAAAAGAGCTTTATTATTTTTGACTGGACAATACCTGTTTTAATTGCATACTTTAGAGTCGTTTGGCAATGCATCAAAATTTCCTCCAAATTTTGTGGTTGGTCTGCCAATTCCCAGTTATACTCTTGAAGGAGCTCATTAGGGTAATGGAAATCAATCACTTTGGTTGATCTATCGAAACTTTTCACCACATACTGAAGCAAAATGTCCATAACATCTTGCAGAAACGCCAAAGTGGGCCTTTCTCCATCACACGCTGGCAGCAGGTCTAAAGAATGGAATCAAAATGCCACATTTTAATTTTACTGTGGAAATATCCAGGCAAGATCTTGATGTGGCAATTTCTCTTTGGACTGAGAGATTTTGTGCTAAAAAAAAAAAATCTGGAAACGCAGAGCATTTTCTTTAAATGGGAGGTATTTTTCAAAGACGAAGGAAAAAAAGAAATTGCGGTTTCTCCCCCACCCCAAGTTAATTCTTGCATTTCAATCCATTAGGTATTGTTTGCTTTCTTTTTAAAAAGGAGTGTGCTCCATTCATCTGTTTCACCGGGGTCCGTCCTAAATGTTATATCTCAGTAAATCATCTTAAATGATTATGGAAATACGTCACATCGGAATGTTTGAGGAATGCCTTTGGGCAAATCAGGCAAAGTGGAGCATGCGATGTTAGGATCTCTGACCCATTAAGATGGCTCGCTATTTCCTAAGTCAGTGTGTGTGTGTGTGTGTGTGTGTGTGTGTGTGCGCGCGCGCGCGCGCTCATTTAGGTGATTGGGTGTGTAAACACAAGGGAGTAAAACCGCCCGCAGGTCTCACGTGAATAGAATAGTTCCCCTGTGAAACTGCCCCTATGAATTACTCTTGCGATCTAAAGACCTAGAAAGTCTCATCAACCAAGTTCCACCCGTTTCAGCGGCCACCAAGAAGCCGACCTCGAGGTCCAGCGCGCGCGGGGACCTCCGCCGACCGCAGACCCGGGGGCGGCACTGGGGCAAGAGCGCCGCGGCCCTAGAGTCCCCTTGGAATGCCCGCGCCCAGCGCTGCCCAGAGGCCGGGGTTGGGGCTCAGACGGAAGGGACAGGCCCAGTGTTTCTCGCTTTAAGCTGAAGATTCACGTAAGGTCCGCCTCCGCCCTGCTTCTTCACGACTCGGGTCAGGCCCCTGTCATCGAGTCCTTTCTGGTCGCGGTGGGTGGGACAGTGCGAGGGACAGTGGCTCCCGGCGACCCCACGGGAAGCCTTTACCTGTTGCATGTAGAAACGCATAGTTGATATCCGCTTTGGGGCAGCTGCAAGGCTTCTGATTACAAGCGCAGGCGGCCTTCCGGGAGGTGGCCCGCGGGGGCTCGCTCCCGCCACTCTCCGCCGGCTTCTCGGCGTCTCCGTAGAGCAGGGCTAGGCAAGCACATCGAGAGCGCTGGTCAGCCGCCCGCCGGTCCCAGCTCCCTCGCGCCTGCCCATCCCCGGCCAAGCAACTGAGCTCAACTCCGCTGTTGGGGATGCGGAGGTGAGAAGGTGACACTGCCTCCGCGGGACACAGAGGCGACTGACTGGCCGTGTTCGACTCCCTCCCCCGGCACGGACTGGGCACTCACCGCACAGCTTGTTTCCGATGCCTCCCGTGAACTTCTGGGCCACCTGACACCAGGCTCTCGCTGCAAGGAAAGAGAGGGAGGAGGACAGCGAGGCAGAAAGAGAAAGCAAACGACGTGTGAAATTTCGTTCTACGGGAACAAACGCAGTAAACCCGGGGTCCTGAAAGAGGCCGCCCTGGGCTCCGCACGGAGGACAGGTGCAGGAGGGGCGCGGGAGCCCGGCGGCCCGGCCCAGCCCGACCTTACGTTCTCTGATTTCTTTCCAAGAGCTCAGACTCCAGCCCTTTGCACTTGCCTTCCAGGGGCCAGTAGGTTCAGGAAAACTCCCCTTCCTGCCTTGCTCCGGCGAGTTTTCCTAGATACCGAAGCTGTCCATTTTCCTCGCAGCCTCTCCTTCCAGACCAAGAATTCTATCTCTTCCATTTTTTCCCTTTCCCCACAGCCACTCTATCCTTCTACAGGGTCCAGACACCAAGATGGTGGCAGTGCCCCAGGCCCACGGAATTCGGTGTCGAGGAGACGCCTCTGTGTTTGGGGGGCTCTCCCAGACTTCATTGAAAAAGGTCTTAGATTCTTTGGGTGTCTTTCCAAGGGATAAGGGCCTGTGAGGTTTTGGTCTCTTGGGCCATCAGGGACCTACAGCGAGAGTAGGGCGAAGTGTCCGAAGTTTCCTGTTGCAGGTGGAAAAACCTCCTTCGTCTTCCTTAGCACTGCAAACCCCAGTCCACCCGCAAAGCTCGCCTGCTGCAGGCCCCTCTTCCCCTACCTGTGCCGGGGTTCTCGGGATCCCCGGAGCCATCTTCAGACCCGAAGGACCAAAAGCCGGAGCCTGGAGATGCCATCAGCGCTGTGAGACTGGAGCGGGTCGCCTCCGAGTGTGAACTGTCGGCAAGCTGCCCTCCGCTCTGCTCTGCGCGCGCCTGCGTGCGTGTGTGAGTGTGGCGGGAGGAGGGCACTGCGCGGTCGCGCGGCCGTGCGGCAGAGGGTGGGTGTCACACAGCGACAGGAAACGTGCGTGTCTGCGTGTGAATGCGTGTGTGTGTTGGGGTTAGGGCTTAGAGACGTGGCAACTCTCTCAGAAGGCTGAGGTTAAATAGGGAAGGAGACCGAAGGGTCCGCGGAGCAGGGGTATGGGAAAGCGCCGAGCCCCCGAACTGCTTTTGAAGGAGAAGGAGTCCAATCGGGATGGATGAGGGGGCGGCGGAGAGAAAAAATGGGAGAGGGAGGATGCGAGGCAGACAGCGCTCACGAGCTGGAGTCAGAGCGCGTGGGTGGAAGGCGTGCAGGGGACCCCCGGGGAGCGCTAGCCGGTAGCCCGCAAACAGCCCCCGCGGGCGGGGGTGCGCTGCCCCGAGTGCTAACTGCGCGCCGGCTGCTGACTGCGCGCCGGCTTCACCGAGGGGTAGACCCGAGAGACCTTGGCGAGGCGGAGCGGGTGGCCGGAACGGGTCTCATACAGGCATCGATTGGCGTATTGTTTGAGGTCTGGCTCCTGCTGCCGGGAAGGCGGCGCGAAATCGCACCGCCTTCCTCCAAGACGGTGCTGAGGTCGCTGTGACCTCGAAAGCCCCGGCGGCTGGGCTGGAATCACGAGCGGTTCGTGAGCTTGGGGAGGGGACGGTGGGGGCAGGGCGCCTACGCCCTGAAGGGCTCATTTCAGCTCCTTAGTAGAGCCTGACGCCTTCCTACTGAGCCGCGCGGTGCTCGGGAGCGCGTCATTACTGTGCTTCGGGGAGAGCGCGGTCGCTGAACCCACCGTCCAGGATCTGACTGACGGCTGGGAGAAAGACTGCTGATTGAGGCAATTAAAATCCATGCAGGAGCCTATCACCGAGGACCTCGGGCTGGCGAAAAAAATAAAACGAATGGAAACTTCTTGGGGGGGGGGCGAGGGAGAGGAACTAGAATCAGCAGGCGGGATTGACGGCTCATGGGGGATGGGATCGGGTCATTTAGCGACCTTGGCCCGCGGAGGCGTGGAAGGGTTTGCTGCTTTCGCGTGACCTGAATCGATGTGTGCGTGGGAGGCGTGCACAGAGTTTCCAGCTAAGCAATCTGAGCTTTCCAAATTCAAGGCGGAAAGAAGGCATCGCCTGCTGGGCCCCTCGAGTCAGTGGGTCGCAAATCAATGATCTCCTACCCCCCCGACCCCCCTCCCCCCGAAAATCTTCACGATAGCGGGAGGAGGGTGGTGGAGCCAGAGAGAATCACTATTTCTGAGGCCTGGTGGGAAGGGGTTTCTTCTTTTCTGAGAAAGTCAGAATCTCTACTCTCTTACAATATCCTCTACGTTAAAAGCTGTTAAACAAAGGAAACACGCCCTGAGATTTTCGGGCCGGGTTGAGTTCGCGTTGCTTTCCCTTGGTAGCGGAGATCAGCGTCACGTACACCTTGCGGCTCCTGGGCTCTCTGAGAGAGAGGCTGAGGAAGACCCTGGTGGGGAAAGACTGCGTCTTGCCTTCCGCCGCGTGCATTCCCTTGAGCGAGGGTTTTTCATTTCCACTCTGTTCACAAGCCCTTATTTCTTTGCCCTCCTGAATCAAGTCACCAAAGCTGCTGCCAAAGCAGAGACCCACGGATCTTCAGTCTTGGCCACCGCCCCTGGATCCTCGCTTAGGAAGGGCGTCGTGGGGCCTCGGTGGCCGCATTCAAGCCCAAGTCCTATGTCCCCAGGCACGCGGGGGCCTGGTAAAGTCTCTCCACGAAGCTTTGTCTTCTTACGTGCCCGAGCCGGGAGTCGTGGCGGGGAAGGGCGCTGGCCAAGGTCCTGCCGTAGACTTGGCGCAAAGCCGGCTGCGTCGAGAAGCCTGCATAGGGCTGCGGGCGCTTGGTGGGCATGGACCCAGGCCTCAGTGTAGCCACCTTCTCCGGCGCTCTTGGCTTCAGGGGACCCAGGTTACAACGCCAGGGTGTAAAGACTTCGTGGTTGGGCCGTCTGCGCGCAGGCAGGGCAGCTCCGCCGCTCTTGCTCCCGCAGTGCAGATGCGAGTCGGAGAGATCAGTTCTTTTGTTTAAATCCACCGCAAATCCTGCTAAATGTTTTGCTTCGACCCAGCAGGCTGGGGTTGCAGAACTTTTCTGCAATGAGTAAGTGGTCGAAGACATAAAGATTCTTTAAACCGAACGTTTAAAACACCCTCACAAATCCCCGAAGGAAGAAACAGATTAAAACACAGGGAAGGTAGAAACCACACACCTGGATTTAACATAATAATTTTTTTAAACGCGACTTAAAAATCCCACTGTTTAAACTCGATTAAATCCGGCAGCTCTAGAGTACTTTGAATCTAATGGTGGTATTTACATTTTTTATTTAACACACCCTACTTCACAGCACTCAGGGATCTGATTTGTCTTTCCTTAACGTGGTCCCTCCCTAGACGGCAATTTGCTTTATAAAGACTTCGATTTGGAAAAAGAGCCCACTCCCCCCACTCCTGGGCTTGGCGTTGGAGATAACAAAAGAGCTCAGGGCGGTAATAATTACAGTCATTAGTTCACAAAGGAGGCAGCCACCAAATGGGAAGGGGAGGTGGACCAGCGCTCTGGGGATAAGCTTTGGTTGCCTCTTCCTCAATAGGGGGGAGGGAGAGACCCATGCTCCAGGGGCTGCTCTCTTGGGCGGGTTTCCTGGGTTGACCTATTTCTTGTCTGTGGATTATCCAGAGATCTCATTGCAGGTCTCCCAAAGAAGGTCTGCCAAGAGTTTTCCCTTGTGTCTTCCCAGTGTTCAAATGTCGAAGGACAGAAAGAGGAAGATGGAAAGAGAGAAAAAAAAAGGAGAGAAAACAAACACAAAAGAAAAAAGGAAAATAAAAACACTGAAACCTTTCACCGAACGTTTGCGATTTCCTTTTCCAGTCCCACTTAAAAAGGGGGTGGAGAGTTTAGGGAGGGCACCCACTGCCTCCCAATCCAGCGACGGAAGGGCCGGGGTTGCCAGGGGCCACTTCGGAAGCTTGAAGAAGAGGCCTGGCAGCAAAGCGGAGCTCAGCTTTCTCCCCCAGGGGGCCTCTTGGCGGTGGGTGGATGCATGGGTTGGGGCATGGGGACTCAGGTTCCAGAATCTCTCGCCTCCTCGACAGTGCACCGTGCCCCGCAGCGCTGGTTTCACTGGTGCCTGTGCTAGGCCCAGCCTGCAGCCCGTCACAACCGAGCTGTCGTTCCCCAAGGGGGTGACCCCGAGCAGAGGCCGCAACGAGAACCCAGAGAAGGAGCACCGCCTATATAGTGCACACTTGAACTCTGAGCTCGGCCCTGCCACATCGGGAGGTTTCCCCTCGAGCGGGTCTCATTTGTAAAATGAAGAGGTTGTATGAGTCATCTCTGGGGGGACCTTGCGGCGTCAACATTTTGGGTTGGAGAGCACCTTACATCTCGTGCGCGAGCGGCTCAACAAACATTCACCCGCCCTCACTCGAGCCTCCAAAATTTCCCGGAAGTCTCCTGGTTCCGGGCCGCAGGTGCAACGTACACCACCAGGAGGGACAAGCCCCATCCCAAAACCCTTCTCCCAATTCTGTCGTCCGTGAAATCACCTCGCCGTCCTTCCTGACGCTCTTCAGACAGCGTAGACACGGACGCCGTCAGTTTCACAGAAGAGCTCAACCCAGGTTTTAAAATAAGATGCAGTCGACTGAGGAAGGCAAACCTCTGCCCACCCATAGCCCTCCCCTCTCTTAAATACGCCAAAATTCGAAGCCGAGGAGATTGCCTCAAATTTGCAGACTAGGAGAACCTAAAAAAACTGACAGTTTGCTCAGTGGCGGGGCTAAAGGTGTGTGTGCGCGCGCTCAGGGCCCGGGGGGCGGGGCGGGGCGGATTTGGGGATTTGTCCCGAGGCCATGATTGGGTCGCTAGACCTGGGTTTTAACTTAGATGGTATGTTTGGGATGGTTGGAGGCCGGGATTGTTCGCTGGTGGAACCAACAGGCACCGTCGCCCCCCCTGATTGGGCACCTGCACCTACACAGCTGGACAGGAGGAGTCCAGCCCTAAAGGGGAATATCGGGGGACCAGCCCCGAAAGCCACGGACTTTCCAAGGCACTTCCTTTATTTAAAAAGCTCAATAACCACGGGAAGGGAAAGCGCGAGTGTGAGATGAAGTTCATCTTCAAAGCTTCCCACGCCCTCTCCTCTCCTCCCACCCGAGCTTTGTTTTGCTCGGCCCTCGAGTGTCCCGCGGGGCTGGGAGCCGTTTTCAAGGAAAAAGAAATCTTTGAAGTTATCCAACATGAAAGGGGAGGGATCGGCGAGAGCTCAGGTGCAGTCGGGTCTACAGGAGTTGTAAATGAGTGAACAAGGAGATACACAGGGGGCCAGGGATAGGGATGCCCCGACTGGCGGGCTGGTGGGAGTGGAGGGTGCCGGAGCGCGGAGACACGGCGTCCGAAGAGATCTCACTTCTCCGCCTTCGGAGAGGCTGGCCCAGGCACTCGGGCGAGCGCTGCAGGCAGCCCCTGCCAAGGTCAGGGCCGCGGCTTCAGCTCCCTGTGGTGCCAGCTTCCGAGGGTCTCCCGCTTGGCCCCTGCAAAGCCCCGCAGTCTCGCGCACATTCCCATGGGATGGCCCCCCAGAACAGCCGGGCTACACCTGCTGCACGAGGCGCTGCCGCTGGGAGGTTTTGCGCAGGAGCCTCCTGTAGTCGTAGGGGTTGGCTGCGGAGTCGCCTTCCTCCGGCTCCTGGTTCTCCTCCGCCCAGCACCTGCAGCGAGACCCAGGGCCCGAGAGTGAGCGGCGCCCGCGCCGCCCCGCCCACCCAGTTAGGCGATTCCGCTCCTCCCACCTCCGACCAACTGCAGGCAGTTAAGAGCCACACATTCAAAACATCAGGATAGTGGCCAAACGCAGCTGCATAATTTTCTCAGCAGGTTTTAGCACCGTAATTTTTTTTTTAAACACATTTTGGTCAAGCAGGAAAATTCAAAGTGCCTAAATAGACAACCATCGTTTTGCATTTTAAAACTGCTCAAATGTTTCTCCGA